CAACAACAAGTATATGTCAGGCGCTGTTTGGAGCATTTGAATTATGTTAACTCATTTCATCACAGCACCTGTTTGAGGTTGTTATTGCATTTATATTACAGATGATGTAAATGAAAAACAGATTAATAACTTACCCAAGATCACTTAACCAACGAGTGGCAGAACCTACAATTGAACTCAGAGTCCCTACTTTTGCTGATATATCATTTTGTTGTGTTAGGCACCATCGAGTTAGTACCAACTCTTAGCAACCCTATGTACACCAGAAGAAACACTGCTCGATCCAGGGCAACCTCACAATTGTTGCTGCACTTGAGCCCATTGATGCTGCCACTTTGCCAATACATCTCACTGGGGGTCTTCCTCTTTTTCTCTGACCCTCCACCTTACCAAACATGATATGCTTCTCTAGCAACTGGTCCCTCCTGACAATATGTTCGAAGTATGAGAGACGAAGTTTGGCCATCCTGGTCTCCAAGGAACACTCTGGCTACAATTCTTCCAACACAGATCTGTTGGTTCTTTTGGCAGCTCATGGCACTTGTCAATATTCTCCTCTCACACCATCATATATCATACTGCTTCTCTATTCAGTATTTTTTACTGTTTTTTACTTTGTTCTCCTGGAACTCTTTCAGAAGTATTGAGTTCTTTGATAGTCATGTGGTGGACCACATTAAAGGCAGAATTATTAAATTTCTCATTACTTTTTCTATTTTTTCAATATTTCTGAATTAAAACGTGGTGGTAGTGATGGTGGTTATGTGCTGTGGAGTCAATTTCAACTTGTAGTGACCCTATTTGGGGTTTCCAAGGCTGTAAATATTTATAGGAAAAGAAAGCCTCATTTTTCTCCCTTGGAACCACTGGTAGTTTTGAACTACAGATCATGATGAGTTTAGCATCCCAACTCCTTACCACTATGCCACTAGAGCTCCTTGAGTTAAAACTATTCCTATAAAAACCAATCTTGTTTCTGTGTTTCACCCTTAACTGAAATTTTTATGGCAAAGTAAAAGATATTTCTTTAGATTTAGGGTGTCTTGATTAATCCTATAAGGAGATTTTCCCTTTGGTGTCTGGGAGATTTTTATACCCCAGGAATGCATCATAGTTTAGAATAAGTTAAAAGTATATGTCTCCTTTGTAAAGTCAGAGAAAAGCTGTTACCACAGACATTTTCAGAGGCAGATAAGTTTTAGGAGCGAGTACTCATACAAATAGAAGATCTGAACATTGGTTCCTTTTAAGCCCATTATTGTGTGGAAACCCTTGGAAAATCTTTTATGTGCAGCTAATTTGAACTCCAGTTTAGGGACAGTAACAGTTGCTTAAATCTGAACTTTTGAATTAAAAAAAGCTTATCTCCACAGGGATTTGTTCTTTTAAAATTAGTTGCCTTTATTCTCAGTATAGTTGTATCTAGGGATCAATATGGTCCCCTAAAGAGTTTTTTTGAAGTACTTTATTGGTAGATCATTTAAACCCAGTGTCTTCATTAAATTTTGCAGCTTTGTTAATAACAGATTCTATCTATGAATTAAAAGATAATGGAATTTTCTTTCACAAACATGCTGAAGCCCCCTTATATGTGACTTAAAGGTTCTGACTTACAAAGAGTCTGAATAGAGGCACTTCAAGTAAACTCTCATAACCATTTATGTATCATGGAGTACCTAGATGACTAGGCTGTCGGCTCCTTTTTTTTTTTAATGCTTTATTGTGAATTATGTAATAGTTTGCATGGGAGGACATCAGCTTCACATTGATCCTGTCGTATATTGTTTCCTTGCCATGGTTACAATCTCTTCCTTGCATCATTGATCAACCAAAGCGTATACCCCGCAAGCCTGCCCCGCTGTCGTCCGCACACCGCCCCCCTCTCTCTCCAGGTCCAAAGTCTCCAGCTGCTCCATCTCTCCGTGTCATTGTCTCTTCCTCCATCCCTGGCATCACTGTTTCTCTGAGTAGGGTTCTGTTCTTTGCTCTTCTCCGTCGATGGTCCCAGGGACCTCTGTTCCTAGACTGTAAGGTTAATCACTCCCCTCCCTTTGCCCCAGAATGTCCACTTTTACATTTCCAGCCCTTACAATCAGTCCTGATAACAATTATTTGCTGTTGTATCGCAAGGGACCTATCTGCATCTCCTTTTATCAGCCCTAACTAGGCAGAATGGATACTACTCAGTGGAGATTCCACCTTGCTCCACGCCCTTTGAATCTAGGCTCCCTCTTGAAAGCTTATAAGCCAGTCACTTCTTGCCTCTGTAGCCCCCCCATTCTGGGTAGCCAATGTCCAAGTTGCCCATTCCTGTCCTCTCCGTGTGCAGTGGAGGTGGGAATGATCCTCGCTGTGAAGATTTGTTCACTCTTTTGAGCTATTGCTTCCATAGGTGTGTGTCAAGTTCATCAAATTGTGTCAGATTATTCTTTTTTTCCCTGTTCTTTCTTCTTCTGTTTGAGCTCTGATCATCCAGCCATTGAAGCCAGGTCAAGTGGGTATTATCTGCAAGTGTGGGTGTACTTATGCATGTGCCCTCTCTTTGTATCAGCTGGATGCTTCACTCTTCACTCTAGTCCTCTGTGGCCATGTCGCTGACTCTGGGTCCAAGAGTCCCCTCGACTTGGTGGCACACTGCTTGCCAACCAGGTCTCCATCTGGGTTCACAGTGTCAGCTCCTTTTTGACTGTAACTCTACATTGGTTCCATTTTGTATGTAATTAAACTACCAACTGTTCCTCTGGAGAAAGATGAGGCTTTCTGCTCCCGTAAAGATTTGCAGCCTTGGACACCCTGTGCAGGGTCACTATGAGTTGGAACCGACTGCACAGTACTTAACAACAACAAAAATAAAATCTATAGAGCAGGGCATTGAAATAGGCATTGGTTGTTATTTTGGAACTAATACCATTCCTCGGTGGATTAACAAAAATGTCTTATTCTTGTGTCATCAGTATTTCCAAGCTTAACAAATTTACTTAAATAAGCAAAGGTAGGCTACATTGACAGCACTTATTAAGAGACTGTTTGGGGAAGGCTTAAATCATGATAGTTCCTTTTCAATGTTTCTCACAAAGCATTGCACCTTTTTCAGGAAAGGAAAACTTTAGTGTTTTGCTGACATTATTTTAATATAGTACATTGACAACCACAGTATAATGTAGCACAATATTATACAAAATTATAAAAAGATTCCTCTATTATTTATTTGTCGTGGTTTGTTTCCATATATTAAATTAGTTATTCTATTGATTTTATAACCATCTCATTTGTATAGCCACCTCATTTGTTTCCTTTTAAACCTTAGGTATTTTTCCAATAAAAAATAAAATAATTCAGCTTTGTGTCAGTAATATCTGGAGGAAAAAAACTATAGGCTTGTCCTGGGAATTTGGACATTAGTTAGAGTCAGTTACTTGCATATTCATTCAATTAAGTTTCACATTTTCTCTTGGTAATTGGCGTCTGTGTACTTCATTTTTACTAATTCCTTAATTGTGGAAGATTTTTTTTTTTTGTCCAGAAAACCTTCGTACTGTTAATCTATAGTTTATCATAAACTTCTTACTATATTTAACCTAAGATCTAATTTTAGTCAATTTTTCATTTTAACTAGGGTTTTATTAGAAGAACATGTCACTCTGAATTTGTTTTTTTCAGGGTATCAGGTTTGTTCCTTGTATTGCTTAAACTTATTTTACGCTGATTTTTATTTTTTTAGGGGAATTTGTGAAAATACCTATTTTATCTATATAGAAGATGTTTCAGCAAAGCTATTAGTGTTTCCATAGCATTTTCGGGAGTAGTGGAAGATCAAATCTTCATTCATCAACATTTTAACCTTTGTTCTATTCTAAGCTCAAACTTTATTCCATTATAGTTTTGTTTTTTTTTTCCTAACTCAGAGGATACAGGGATGAGTTATGTTTATCCATGCCAATCATCAAAATCTCCTGAAAAAAAACAAATGAAGAGAACATCAGATGATTATCCACTTTTGGTGAAGCAGGGCTTCCAATATTATGAAACGTTCCTGAAAATCTCCACTAAGCTTTTGTGTTTTTTCTTTTTCTTTTTTTTCAAAGTAGAGTTATATATATTTTATATGTTTATTCTTATTAATGAAGTATTTTCATATTTTATTCAGATTGCTTTAAAAACCTTGCAAGTATTATTTTTGAATAATCTTAATTTTATTATATTGATTAAATAATAAAAAAAATACCCATTTAAATTTTTTTGTTTAAGGGAAATATATAGTTGCTGTTTGTATCTTTTTCACAGATCTGTCACTGTTGGTATATCTCACAGAGGGCCAGTCCCGTTTACCTAATTCAGACTCACACATAGGCCAACAGGCTACAGTTGAGATGACTAGCCATCTCAGAAAATTCACTTTTCTGTATTTGTCATATTTGTGGGGTTGTATCTAATAAACCTTTTTTTTTTTTTTACAATGAGCATCTGCTAGAAGGAGAGAACTATGTTGAATACAGTTCTTTTCTGTAACTGTCATTCTTTTTCCGTTATGTGTACTGAGTTACCATCAAGATGGCATTAGCGGAAAGAAGGTACCAGTTATTTGTATATGTGTTTTATGCTGTATACATTGAGTTCAGTAGAAATGATCACTGCCCATGAAGAATTTTTCTAGCACAGTCTCACTGGAAGTATATTACAAGGCTGTTATGGTCAAAGAAGGTAAACATATAGAGAGCTAAGTAAAGTTCTCAGAGATCCTAATTACAGTTTCCTTAATTTTATTAGTATAATACTTGATACATTTTTTACACCTAAGTCAGTTAGTTCATGTTAAAGCTGCTTATACTAAACTGCTTCACAGAGATTTTCTAACAACTCCAGTTTTGATTATAATTTTACTAATATTAATATGCATGCTTGGAATGTCAGTTCTTTCTCACTTTTAATGCAATGTCAAAATTATATTTCTTGTCTTTCCTTTTGGTTTGACTCTTGTGTTTGTGCTTTCCACTTTACAGGCATGCAGTATGGTGACTATATTAATAATCAAGCTAGCTCCGAACCAACTCCCTTGTCATCAACTTCCGATGATGAGGAAGAGGATGAGGATGAGGAAGCAGGTCTGCTTTAGCTTTACACTAGTTCTTGATCTTTCCTACTCAGATTTTCTGTTTTTATTTCCATAGGCCTAGCATTTGAAAATAAGAAATTAAAATGTCTTGGCAGATTTAGCCCAAAAAAGTTACTTGGTTTGGGATATAGAAGCTTGGGCACTTGAAGTGTTTTAGTTTTCATTTTGGACATCTTTACCATTTCATAAGTAACAGAATGCATCTTTCTTTCAGAAATGTGTTTGTGTTTCCTCCTGTGTCATATACAAAAGAATGAGCCCTAACTTTAAAACTTTGTCTGATGACTATGTGAGCATCCTTTTAAGAATAGTGTTTTATTTTCTGCTGTGCATGCTACTTTAGATTAATAAAAACCAGCCATATGGATTTTAGAATGGTGATAGAGGAATATGACAGTGTTTCTATGAGGTCCAGTTTTGCTTTTCTTGTCATAGTCTTAGAAGGCCCAGAATTTGTAGTTCTTTTCTTGCTTCATGACATAGTAGTTCATGTCTTACTTGTTGAGGAACTTGTGCACATGGTTATTTGTTGCAACCTGCTTAATGCCTTTTCTCGCCTTTGGTGAGGTAGTAAGCAGTTCAGTTCCTACACAACAAGTGACCATCTTTCAGATGACCAAATGTGACCCTTCTCACCTTCTGTCATCTTTATCATTGAGCAGAAAGATTTTCCCTACTAACCATGCAACCAAAGGTTTCTCTTATCTTTGCATCTTTTTGTATTCAAATCTGTGTGTATGATTTGAACAGATAAAAAGTGGAGGGTATCACTTAAGTAATCCTTAAATTAAATCCTATAAATCTGTAATACCCATCTATCTTTCTGAAGTGTTTTGGTAACTTCTAAAAATATAATTTAAAACTTGTGAAAAGTGAATAAAAAGAAACGTATCATTTACTCTTTACCTAGGCAAACCATTTTTGTCCCAACTAGTGTATAATTCTCATCATCTACATATCTTTGAATAGGAGTTGTGGTGTGGTGCTGTAAGATAGTCAGTGGACTACTAACCACAAGATTAGGGGTTCAGACCTACCATTGCTTCTTGGAAACCGTATACAGGGTTTCGATGAGTCAGACCTGACTCGACAGCACTTTAAAAGCAACAACATATATTTATCAATGTAGAATTGTTCTTACACCATTTGAATATAAATGGGAGACATAAGTTTGTATTTCCTAAGAAAAAGGATAATGCTTTACATAACCACAGTACAGTTAACAGGAAATTAAACATGGATTCACTCATCTGATACATGGTCCAAATTCAATTGAATTTGAATTATGGTCAAATATCAATTGAATTTGAATTATCTTATTAATAAGATCTCTATAGCTATTCATATTTCCAGAATCTGATTCAGAATCTTGCATTGTGTTTAGTTTTCGTGTCTGTTTAGACTCCTTTTATCTGGAGCCACAAATCATCTGTCATTGTGTCATACTGTCGTGGCTTGTGTGTGGCTGTGATGCTGAAAGTTATGTCACCTTTTTTTTAAACCCAGGAGGGTCACTCATGGTGAACAGATTTCTGCAGAACTTCCAGACTAAAACAAACTAGGAAGAAGGAGAGACATTTACTTCCAAAAGGTTAGACACTAAAAACCTTATGAATAGCAGCAGAATACTATCAGAGATTGTGCCAGAAGATGAGCCTCTCTGGTTGGAAGATATTTAAAATACAACTGGGGAAGAGCTGTCTCTTCAAAGCTGTTGACCTTAATGATGTAAATGGAACAGAGCTCTCTGGACCTTCATTTGCTGATGGGGCACAACTCAAAATGAAAAGGAATGACTGCAGACATCCGTTAATAATCAAAACTTATAATGTAAGAAGTATGAATCTAAGAAAATTGGAAGTCATCAAAAATTAAACGGATGATAGTGCTTGATGGCAAAAAGGCTTCACAGAGCCTCATTAGCAAAGACATGAACAACTGGATGAAACAGACTCAGATGATGGTCCTGGAACTCTGAGCTTCAAATAAAGGAATCAATAAAAGGATTGAGTGCTTACCAGGAGAAAGAACTTGAATAGAAGCAGGAAAAGAGGTGACTTCTGATTTGGAGCAGCCCACTTTGAAAGGGTGTGAGTAGATTGAGAGACAAGAGCATTCTCTTTGCAGAAGCCTGCCGGTAACTTGAAGAGACAAAGTTAACCATTTTATTTTATTTTTTCTTTTTCTACTCATTTCCTCCCTGGAAACCGGAGGTGAGACCTTTCTGAGTAGACACACCAGGGAAGCTTCCATATGGACCTCGGGCAGGGTGTCTAATAGAAGGGGGGGGGAGAGAATAGAAACAGCCCACACCAGCAGGCTCTGCTCCAAATCAGCCTGGCCAGCCCTGGGCTAGCTCTCACTAGGAGAAGCAGCTAAACGGACTAGAGGGGAAGAGAAGTAGGGGAAAGAAAAAAGCTTGTGATAGGTCAGAGAGGCACAATGGAACCATCTTGAAATTTCTCCATTAGCTGTGAAGACAAGAAGAGTCCATTAGGTGGAGAGACTTCGAGCAAGCTGACAGACTGGGCAGACATACTGCATGGACCCTCACAACAAAGTTCTGAGAGCCCACTTGTTAGTCACTTCTGGAAAGAAAGATGGAGCTTTCTGCTTCCTCAGAGATTTTAAAGCCATAGCCCTGGGTGATCGGAGGCCCTGAAGAAACCGCAGTATCCAATAAAAGAAGAAATATGGAAGCAAGAAGGGATGGAACATGGGAAGGAGGTGTGCTACTATTACTTTGAAACTGTAAATTATAAAAATGTTCAACAAACTATGATGTTTACAGGGGATAGGGGGTGGAGAGGAGGGACAATTATGTGTCAGAGGGCAGACACATGCTGATATAGTGACAGGGCAAGCAATATACAATAAGAGAGAGGTTAGTAGAGGAAAGATGAAGGTAACAGGAGACACAGGGAGGAATGTAGTAGTTACATGAATAGAAATAAATACTGTTAACTCTTGGTACGTGGAGGGGACTTCAGACATTTAATGAAGCACAGTATATGATTTATTCAATGTAAAACTGATGATCTGCTTTGTAACCCTTTACTCTCAATCACAATAAAAAGTTAAAAACAAAAAACTAAATGGAATGATTAAAGATCAATATCCTAGGCACTGGTGGGCTGAAATGGACTGGTATTAGCTATTTTGAATAGGATAGTCATATGGTTTACTGTGCCAGGAACAACAAATTGAAGATAAATGGTGTTACATTCATATTAAAAAGAACATTTAAGGAAATGATGAAATAAAAGACCTAAACAGAAAAATTTCATAGTGCACCTCAAGAAGACAAAGTAAAGTAATACAATGAAACGTGCAAACACCTGAAGTTAGAGAACTGAAAGGGAAAACACACTCAATATTTCTCAAGCTGAAAGAACTGAAGGGAAAATTCAAGCTGCACTTTGAATATTGATGGAGTCTATGGGCAAAATAGGTCCTCATATGTGCTGTAGGATAAGCACTGGACTGGTAACCACAAGGTAAGCGGTTCAAACCTACAAATTACTCATCGGAAATCCTGTACAGGTCCAACTCCACTTCATTTAGCAACAGCAGCAACATGAATAAAATATTGAATGATGTAAAAAGCATCAAAAGAAGATATACGGAATATACAAGAGTCAGTGTATTCCAGTACCAGTGATACAAAACAGAACTGGTCAATGTTCAACCTTTTCACGAGCTAATACATAATCAAGAACAGATGGTATTGAATCAAGAAGTCCAAGCTGCACTGAAAACATTGGTGAAAAACAAGGCTCCAGGAATTGAGAGAACCAAAATTGAAATGTTTCAACAAACTGATGGCAGTGGTGAAGAGGTGTTCACTCATCTGTGCCAGGAAATTTGAAAGCCAGTTAGCTACCTGGCCAACAGATTGGAAGACATCCATATTTGTGCCCATTCCAAAGAAAGGTGATCCAGACAAATAGAGAAATCATCAAACAGTGTTACTAATACCACATGCAAATAAAATTTTACAGAAGACAATTTAAAAACACTTGAAGCAGTACATCTGCAGAGAGCTGCCAGGAATTCAAGTCAGATTCAGAAGAGGATGTAGAACCAGGAATATCACTGCAGATGTCAGATGGATCTTGGCTGAGGGCAGAGAATGCCAGAAAGATGTTTGCTTATGCTTTATTGACTATGCAAAGACATTTGACTGTGGAGATTGTAACAAACTATGGATAACATTTTGAAGAATGGGTATTACAAAACATTTATTTGTATCCTGAGGAACCTGTACATACACTAAGAGGCAGTTGTTCAAACAGACCATGGGGTTACTGAATAGTCTAAAGTCAGGAAAGATGTGTCAGGATTGTATTCTTTCAGCATACGTATTCAATCTGTATGCTGAGTAAATAATCTAAGAAGCTGGATTATATGAAGAAGAATGTGGCATCAGGATTGGAGAAAGACTTTTTAATAACCGGCCATATGCAAATGTCACAGCCTTTGCCTGCTGGAATTGAAAAGAACTTGAGATACTTGACTGGTGAAAATCAAAGTATGGATTACACCTCAATGTAAAAGTCCTCACTACTGGACTAATAAATAAATAAACATCTTGATAAATGGAGAAAAGATAAAATCATGAAAAACTTCATTTTGCTTGCTCCACAATCAACTCTCATGGAAGCAGTCGTCAAGAAATTAAATGACATCTGGAATTATGCAAATTTTCTGTGAAAGATGTCTTTGAAGTGTTGAAGAGCAAAGATATCAGTTTGAGAACTAAGATGTTCCTGACCCACGCTAGAGTATGTTCAATTACCTCATGAATGTGAAAGTTGGAGAATGAGTAAGAAAGAACACTAAAGTATTGATGTATTTGAATTACGATATTGGCAAAGAATATTAAAAGATCTTGAGTTTCTAGAAAAATAAACAAATCTGTGTTGGAAGAAGTACAGCCAGAATGCTGCTCAGAAGTAAGGATGGCATGACTTCATGTCAGGAAGGACC